TAATCGAAAGGAAGGGAACCCAGAGCCAGATCTTTCCTTCTTTCTTGATTTTTAACCTTTTTGAGGTATATCTAATTTCTTGTCTTGTGACTGATTGTTTGTTGAAATTTATATATATATTTTTGAAGTTAGGATTTTGAATTTATATATGTGTTGAAAATTTCTGGAGATGATTTTCAATCTTCTAATTTATGTCTCTCTCTTGTAGTTAGGGCTTGGAATTTTATATCCCTGTTAATGTGAGTGTATATTTTTGTGTAGGTATATATGTATTTTTCTCTCTTTTTTATTGTGTTGGTTATCTGCTTGTCCATTCTATCATTTGTGTTTCTCCCAATGTTGCTCTATTTTTAAGGAAAAGATTAGTGTTTGTTCCATTAATTTGCTCTTGCGTCCATGAGTAATTTAAATTTCCTGTATACAGAATCCAATTTGACAAAACAGAAAATATGGATTTGAAATGACTGAGACTACAAGTTTGGATTTAAAAAAAATATTTGAGAGAAGATTTTTTAGTTTGGCTGCAATGAACGACAATAAATGATAGTATCCAGAAGTAGATAATAGAAGAAATAGAATAAAGAAGTTAATATTATTGGCAATAGTTTGTGCAAGAACCTTAAACACAATTACACCTATAAAGTTGTCCGTTGGTGAGGACAAGGCTCCAAATAAAGTACTTTTACTTCTGATAGAACATGCCTAAATAACTAGTACTAATTACAAATATATAGAACCACATAATAAGATAAGATCAGACAACTAAAAACTAGGAATATACTAAACTGCTGGAGCAGTTCCAGGGAGCAGTTGTTGGTTGACAGTTTCATCAGATATGCATTTCAGGAACTGCAGCAGTTGTACTTCATCAAGATTATTCAATTCTTTATCCTTTTCCTGATGCTTTCTTCTAGAATAAGTCTTTAGAACTGGGACTCTATCAGTACACTCCCCCCCCCCCCCCCCCCGAAAAAGATGCCTTATCTTCAAGGAAAAAAGAAGGAAATTGAATAGCAAGCAGGTCATAGTCTTCCCAACTAGCCTCTTCAATAGGACGATGACGCCATTGAATAAGTAGTTCCAGAGTTGGCACTCTAGATTCTTTCACTCAACGATGCGATAAAACTTTTTCAGGTTCCAACATGAGTTCCAATTCACCCGAATGTGGTAAGGGTGGTGGAAAGGTAACATCAGAACAACCACGAGCAGGGCGAAGCAACGAAACATGAAAATTGGGATGAACCTTGGATGTTTGAGGCAGCTGCAATTCATAAGCAACATGACCAACTTTGCACACAATTTTGCATGGGCCAAAATATCGAGGAAAAAGCTTCTCATTAGGACGTTTGGCTAAACTCTTCTGCCAATAGGGTTGCATACGAAGGAAGACATCATCACCCAACTTTGTAATTTTTAGTCAATTCTATGTAACCAAATTTGATAAGATTATTTTGATGATTTTGCAGGTGAAGCAATTAAACAAAGGGTAGATAAAAGCAGTGAAGATCTTACTTAAGAGTATTGAATGGCAGTTGCTAGACCTTTAGATATTCTAGAAATCCTTTATTATCGAACTTTTGCAAACTTATGTATGGTAACTCTTGAATTGTCAAACAATATTGTATATTTTGTTTTCACATATGGTAATACTAGTTGGATGTTTTGAATTATAATTTCGTTCTTATATAGGCAAATTATTATTGTAATAGACCACCGGAAAGTTGCAATAGCCTCAAAAAATTGTTGCGATAGCTTTTATAACCGTTGCGATAGCTCTTAATAACCGTTGTGATAGCTCCTACCAACCGTTGCAATAGCTCCTGATAACCGTCACAACAGATCTTATTAGCCGTAGCAACAACTTAAAAAATTGTTGCATAAAATGATATTGCAACGGTTTTAACCGTTGTATATAACTAAATAACCGTTGCAACAGCTAGGCAAATGGCAACGCTTCAAAACCGTCGCAATAGATAGCCATATGGCAACGGTTTTGCACCCGTTACAAGACACCGTTCCAATAATCCTATTGGCACGGATCTGATGGAACGTCCCCAAAATCGTTACAATAGACCTATCTGCAACGGTGTTGCAATCTATTGCAACGGTATTTGAACCGTTGCCGTAGGCCTATTTTCTAGTTAGTGAGAAGGGAAAAAAAGGAAAAGATGTAATTGAATTCCTTAATTGAAGGCACTAATAATGGGGAGGGAGCCTTTTAAGAAGTAATGTATACAAGTTGTAAGAAAAACCTAGATACTTATTAAAAACTGAAAAACATAGAGAACATAAGTAAATAAGTTTCTAATACATTATAACTAGGTAAAAATCCCTTTCTTATTGCATTACGGTTTGGATTATGTTTGCTATTTTTAGATCTTCATTTTTCCTTGCCTTATAGTTAACTACTTTCTTCACCTTTTATGGCAGCACATAAAATGGAGAATTTTCTATTTATAGCAATTTGAATTTGACAGAAAAAAAAAGATAACAGAAAGTTCTAGTAGTATTTTTTTACTTCTTGAAATAGATAGACAATTTGTCTCTAATGGAAGTTTAAAGAAAAACGAAAATTAAGAATTCAAATCAGTGAGTTCGAAATATATAATAAGATCTTTATTATATATGTACATTTTAATTATCATTTTTTGTATATATACATAATTTGAGATTTAGAAAAATAAGTTTAGTCGAACTACAACATCCATTTTAATTTGCCTACTATTATATTAAGGTATGGGTCAAAATCCATCTTTAGTCAAAATGTTATTATTGAAACATTCCTGGATATCAGCGTCGAAGTAATCTAATTATCAGCGAAGGCCGTGGTCGAAGAGTCCGCAAGTCTGAAGTCGAGGAGTTGTCATAGAGGCCGAGATCCAGCACTCTTAACAGAGCTGTAACGGCTAGTTTCGAGATAGGATACAAAAGAGAATATTCTAGTGAATATTCTCTGTACTTGTACTATTAGGGTTTTTAGGAACATGTTCCCTATAAATAGAAAGAGACACAGTGATAGGGGACATGTGATATTCATTTGTGAAAATACACTTCGACTTGAGAAAGAGAATTGAATTTCATTACTAATATACAAACATCACCTTTCACTGAGATTCTTGTCTACACATTTTCCACTAGATCCGAGAATAACTCAAATATTCGAAGGATCGTCCATCACTCATCATTGTCAGAAAGAACATTCACTGTTTCCATCCCTTCTTGGTGGCTCATTCATTTTATTTACTTAAATGTCATTTATTATTATTCATTGATATTGAATGCTACATTATTGCCTTTGATTTCTGGAATAGTTATTGCATACTGTCGCCGCCATCCGAATATATCTACATAATATCTGTTGTATTTTTTAAGAATTCCATCTTAGAGATATTATTGTTAGCTAAGATTAACCCTCATTTATATAAATTAATTATTTGAACCAAGATCTATATAATTTTGGTCAAACAATTTGGCACAGTCTGTGGAGATTTCTTAGCTAAATTTTTAGTTTCTTCTAGATCTACAACTAACGCAAGTTACTGACGTCAAAAACGCCGAGATCTCCTTTCTTTGTGCATACATACACCCTACATAGCAGGTAATCAAGGAGAAAGGACAAAAATAACAAGTGACTTCCAAACCTACCTCATGAATGTCATCAACGAAAGTTGTGAAACGGTAGGCAAAGACGCGACACCCAACACGTCCCCTAAGCGAGAGAGGTCGCCCGCCCACCCCCCACTGCAGCATAACAAAACCCAACGGAAAGGGGGGCTCCACGTCCTCTGAAGAAGGGATGCCCCCAGCTATAAAGAAGCTTCTCGAAGCATGGCTGACCGACACGCTAGCAAGCGTCCTCAACAAACCCACTCCACGCATGGCTGCAAAAACTGCAGGAGCTCGCATGACACAACAAATAGATGAGCAATGCAACCAACCAACCCCTCCAATGACAGGTATAACTCACAATATTACTAACAGTGCAGGTGACAGCACCCTCGCTGCCATTTTAAAGATGATGGAAAAAATGGACAATGAAAATAAGGCACTCCAAGACCAGATGAAAGAACACAAAGAACGAGTTGACAAGATACCGGGTGCTCCCAAGTTGCTGCCGAAAAGGGACGCCGACAAGTTCATAGAACAGTCGTACAATGATGACGCAGCCCGCATGCCATACCAAACACCTTCAAAATGCCGCCCTACCTCAAGATATACGACGGAATGACCGATCCAGAGGATCATGTGACTCATTACGCCACCTCCGTGAAAGGAAACAATCTCGCCAAGGAATAAATGATCTCTATTTTGCTGAAGAAGTTTGGCAAAACCCTTATAAGAGGAGCATTAACATGGTATTCACAGCTACCAGCCCGCTCCATAGAAACCTTCAAGGAAATGGCCAATAAGTTTATAACCGCCCATGCCAGAGCCAAGAAGGTCGAAGCGAGAGTAAACGATATATTCACTATTAAGCAGTCCTTGGAAGAGGGACTAAGGGACTTCCTCGCCTAGTTACATAGTGTAGGATGACTCTGCGAAAAGGGATGGCGGTCGCAGCTTTCCAGAACGGGCTGAGTAGGGATGGTTCAAGAGCAACTAGGAAAATGTTGAGCCGATTAATGAAGTATCCTCCAACCACTTGGGACGAAATCCACAATGCTTATTGTGTTGAGGACCGAGTAGACGAGGACGACCTCAATGGACCAACTCATCAGTTAACCTCGGTACAAATCGAATCCAGAAAAGAACGAAGAGACAGCACCAAAAGAGATCACCCGATTCTGCGACCTAACACGGAACGACATCAATCATATGTCAGTGCGGCCACTATACCCTCCCTTTGCTATGAAGAAGGCTTGTCCAAGCCAAGGACAGGGACTCATCGGAACGAAAGAGGTATGCCTCTTTTATTATCTGATCACAATTACTGTGTGCCGCCTAAGAAAATAGTCTACGCTCTTGAGAAACTCGGAACAAAGGTGTAATGGCTGCCGAAGATGAGATTTGACCCGAACACCAAAAAATTCGACGCCCTCTACGAGTTCCACAAGGAACGGGGTCACAAAACAAAAGATTGCATCACCCTCAGACAAGAAGTCGTGAACATGTTGCGGAAAGGACACCTCAAAGAGCTGTTAAGCGACAAGGGGAGAACCAACTTTGCTACAGGACATGAATGCCGAGGCCAGCGAAAGCCGCCATCACCAGCTCGTATTATCAACATGATCATCGGTGGTGGCGACGACGCCTCTATTAACAGCGTGAAGTTCACCACCACTCACAAGCTCAAGCGGTCTATCACCCGTGAACGGTACGACGGACTCGAAGAAAGTATCATCTTCGACGAGTCAGATGCCGTCGGTTTGACTTTCCCTCATAATGATGCCCTCGTCATTACTTATGAATTTTAGATACTAATGTCAAACACATCATGGTGGAAGATGGAAGTGGCGCATGCATTATCTATCCCCGAGTCCTTACCCAAATAAGACTCGAGGATAAGATAATGCCAACTGCATCACATGAGCCGATTTTAACAATGCACTTGATCGGACATCTAGGGATATCACACTCCCCGTCTTGGCTGGCGGCATGATCTGGAGACAACATTCCACATCATGGACCAGGCCACTGCGTATAATGCCATAGTGAGACGACCATGGATACATCCCATGAGAGCCATCCCCTCCAGCCTATACCAAGTAATTAAATTCCCAATACCATGGGGGATATTCAGCATACGCGGGGAACATCGCACATTCTGAGAATGCTACCGCATTTCTTTGGACAACAAAACCACCCAATAGAAAAAGACAAAGAAAAAGAGGCATAGCAATCAACAGGGTCGAGGTCAAAGCAAGAAGAGACCGGGGATGTTATCATGGATCCCGACACGGTCGAGGGTGCAGGTTTGACCATAGAAGACCTCGAACCCGTTCAATCGAACCTCAACGACCATAGCAAGAAGGCCTATATCGGCTGCAAACTCCGGGAACCAAGTAAATTCAGTCAATTCTTAATAGCTAATGCAGATTTGTTTGCTTTCAGCCACGCAGATATGCCAGGCATCCCAAAGGAAATCGCTACACATAAATTAAACGTTGACCCATTCCACCCCCAGTAAGACAGGTCAGGCATAAATTTACCTCCTCCACCAACAATGCAGTCCACGAGGAGGTGGTAAAACTGTTAGAGAATGGCTTCATTCTCTAACAGATGGTCAAAAGAAGAATGAGAAATGGCGGATGTGCGTGGACTTCACAGACTTGAACAAAGCATGTCCGAAAGATTCGTTCCCATTATCCCATATCGACCAACTCATCGACACAACATCCGAGCACGAACTATTGAGTTTCTTGGACGCTTACTCAGGCTATAACTAAATTCTTATGGAGGAAGAAGATCAGGAGAAGACCACTTTCATCACCCACCAAGGAACATATTTCTATAGGGTTTTTGGCCTAAAGAACGCAGGGGCTACTTATCAAAGATTGGTAACAAAGATGTTCAAAGACCATCTCGGCAAGACCATGAAGGTAAATATAGACGACATGTTGGTTAAGTCTGAGAAGGTAGAGGATAATATCGATCATTTGAAAGAAACTTTCAGCATACTCAGACGGTACGAAATAAAGCTGAACACGGAGAAATACGCGTTTGGCGTAGCCTTAGGTAAGTTCTTCAATTTTTTGGAGTCTCAGCGAGGGATCGAGGTCAACCCAGAACAAATCAAAGCCATCAAGGGGATACCGGAAACCCTAACCACCAAAAATCAAGTCCAGAGGTTGACTGGTCGAATCGCCGTCCTATAAAGGTTCATCTCGCGGTCGTCGGATAGATGCCACAAATTTTTTGGCGTACTCAAAACGGACAACAGCCTCGAATGGAGTCCCAGTGCGTCCAGGCTCTACGAGAACTGAAGGCATACCTATCATCACCGCCCCTACTTTCAAAACCCGAACAAGGGGAACAACTCCTCGTCTATCTAGCCGTCTCTAAGTTAGTGGTAAGCGCAATCCTAACTTGCGAAAATAAAGGTACGCAATCTCCTATCTATTACATTAGCAAAACAATCGTCCACGTCGAGACGAGGTACACGCACCTCGAAGAATTGGCTTTGGCCTTGGTTGTAGCTTCACGAAAGCTTAGACCCTATTTCCAATGTCACCCCATCTCGGTCGTCACGACCTTTCCCCTGAGGAACATTTTGCATAAATCCGAGCTATCGAGGAGGCTGGCCAAATGGGCCATCGAGCTAAGCGAGCACGATATCACATACCAGTCGCGAACGACGATAATGTAACAAGTGCTCGCCGACTTCAGCATAAAAATTATGCCTGAAGTCGAAAGGGAGGCCATCCAAGCTTCCCTCAAAACACAAGAGCTCTGGGTCCTATATACCCATGGCACATCCAACGCATTAGGGTCGGGACCGGGACTCGTACTCGAGGTCCCAACAGGAGAAGTAAATCGCCAGTCCATAAAGTGCCCGGATATGACTAACAACGAGGCCGTAATTACAGGGTTGAGGCTAGCACTCAAGTATGGAGCGAAACGGCTAAAACTTCACTGTGATCCCAGCTTGTAGTCAACCAAGTCATAGGGACTTTCCAAATCAAGGAACAAAGGTTGCGAAAATACAAGACCGAAATCTGCAAGCTATTGCCTGAGTTTGACGATTGCCAGCTTGATTAGATCCCACGAGCACAGAATGCCGAAGCAGATGGCCTCGCCAAACTGGCCGCAGCTACCAAAAACATCACAACCGGAGATAAAAGCGTAGTCCATCTCCTCAACTCATCACTAGACCAAATCGAGGTAAAAACTATAAACTTAACTTGGGACTGGCGCAATCTTATTATCGCATATTTGTAGGATGGCACACTCATATGCGACAAAAAAGAAGCTAAGAAACTAAGAATGCAGGCGGCCAGATACAGTCTCCTCCATAACAATCTATACTAGAGGACTTACGGCGGCCATCTGGGGAAGTGTTTGGGCCCGAACCAAACCTAGCGTGTCCTCGAAGAAGTCCATGAAGGCCATTACGGTGCTCACTTCGGCAATCGAGAACTAGTCAGATGCCTTATACGGGCAAGATACTATTGGCCCACTATGAAAGAGGATGCCACAGACTTCGTGAGGATATGCGAACAGTGCCAAAAGTACACCCCAATGATTTACCAAGCAGGCGAACACCTCCACCCGGTCACTTCCCCGTGGCTGTTAATCAAATGGAGAATGGACATCGTGGCCCCCCTCCCAGCAGGGCAAGGTAATGTACGATTCCTTTTGGTTTTAACTGACTATTTCTCTAAATGGGTGGAAGCAGGAGCATTCGCCCAAACACGAGAACTTTAGGTAATCGCCTTATGGAGAAACATCATCTGCCGATTCGGCCTACCCAAGGAAATCACCTGCGACAACGGACTGCAGTTCACAGGAAAGAAAATCGCTTACTTAGAGAAATGGCATATCAAGAGGATACTCTCAACCCCCTATCATCTAGCGGGTAACAAGCAAGCAGAATCCTCCAATAAGTCCACACTAAACATCATGAAGAAAAGGCTCGAAGACGCCAAGTGACTGTGGTCGGAATACTACCAGAAGTATTATGGGCCTACCGAACAACTCCGGAGACGAACACGGGAAAGATGCCCTACTCCTTGGTGTATGGGACCGAGGTAGTAATATCGGTCAAGTTCGGAGAACCTAGCCTAAGGTACTCACATGAAAGCGGTACGATGAGAGCAGAAGGCAGGAACTCAATGAAATCGACGGACGAAGAGATATGGCGTACATAAGAATGGTCACCCAAAAATAATAATCAGAACGCTATTACAACAAGAAAGCAAAGGTCCGGCCACTTAAAGTCGAGGACTACGTACTGAAAGCCAAAACTCAAGCGAGCAAAAACCCCCGGAAGGCAAGCTGGGAACAAACTAGGATGGCCCATACAAAATCACAGCCAAAGCGAACGAGGGTTCATTCCAACTAGAGACAATGGAAGGAAAGCAACTACTACAAAAATGGAACATTAGCCACATCAAATACTTCAACTTCTGAGAGAAAAATTGTCCCTAGAGTCATACGTTTTTTACCTCACTTGAGTTTTGTCCCACTTTGGTTTTCTCAAGGAGGTTTTCAACGAGGCGACGAAGGGAACACTTTGGGTTGAAGTACGCAAGGGTGAGACCGTCATTGTTATTTCATTGCTCAACTTCTCAATACTCTCCAAGTTAAATAATGAATGGACTAGGTAGACTGGACTCGGACTGGAGTGCCAGCCAACACCCAAAAATCTGTAATTTTCTCCAATTATGTAACCAAAGCAACAATGTCAAAGCAATAAGTAAAGTACGCTTATCAGAACACCTTTCGGCCCTCAGTCGTGATTTAATGAAAGGTTATGCTCGACCCAGCTCGAACAAATACCTACCAGCCCTCGACCGCGACTTAACAAAAAGTTATGTTCGACCCCGCTCGAACAAACACCTACCGGCAACAAAAAGTTATGTTCGACCTCGCTCGAACAAACACCTACCGACCCTCGGTCACGATTTAATGAAAGGTTATTTTTGACCCAGCTCGAACAAACTCCTACCGACCCTCGGCCGCGATTAAACGAATGGTTATGTTCAACCCCGCTCGAACAAACACCTATCGTCCCTCGATCGCGATTTAAAAAAAGGTTATGTTCGACTCCGCTCGAACAAATACCTACCTGCCCTTAGCTGGATTTAACAAAAAAATTATGTTTGACCTCGCTCGAACAAACACCTACTGGCCCTCGGTCGCGATTTAACAAAAAATTATGTTCGGCCTCGCTCGAACAAACACTAATCGGCCCTCGGCCATATCTCAACAAAGAAACACATGCGACCTATGAATATTCGGCTCCAAGGCCACGGCTAGCTAAAAGACAATAACAATAAGAAGGACAAAAGCGAAACAAGTAAACAATAAAGGCAAAAAACACACAAGTACAAAAAATAAATCACAAGGGAAAAAGATGCAAGGAACAACTTTGATATTTCATAAACTATTTACAAAGGCTCGTGAAGACGTGGCAAAAATACACAAAAAGGTCAGAAGAAAACTACTGGGCACTGCCATCAGGACCATCAGTGTCCTCGCCAACTTGGTCCCCAATGGCGTTGCCACTATCACGACCATCAGTGTCCTCGCCAACTTGGTCCCCAATGGCATCGTCACCCTGACCACCAATACCCTCGCCATCTCCATCTCCATCGCCATCTCGATCCCCTTCGCCATCACCACCTTTGCCCTCAGAATATACGGTATTGTACCAGGCGTTCTCCTCGAGCCGGTCTACACCCTCGTCCCTGTTATCCTTACCGGCCTCAGGCATAAGGGATCATACCCACAAGCGAATCGAGCTTCACGAGCCTTAATATGAACATCTTCGAGGGCAGCTTCAGAAATGGATCCCGCGGCATGCAAATCTCGAAAGACCTATAACTGGGCCTCAGCATGAATCCACTCCCCATATATCTCCGAGGAACATTGGGAAAATCTGAAGTGCGAGAAGAGAACGAATGTGCCAGTAATTGGGCCTTCTCGGCCTCCAAAGCAGCAACTCGATCGTAAAGACCAGAAATATCTTTCTCCAACTCCCCAATCCTTTCATCGAGTCATTCTTCTTTGAGCGGTGCCGTCGTTAAATCATTTTTCACTCGGAACAGAGAGTCTGGATCACCTCCTCGAGGGACTCCTCCTTCCTCAAAGCCTCTGACCGCATATACTTTGCCTTCTCTAGCTCCTCTTGCTTCTCAACGGTCTCGTCACTAAGAGCTTCTGCGCTAAACTGGCATTCCTTAAGTTGGCCTCGCATCATGACTACCTGAGCTTGGAGATCGTTGCACTGGACTTCGACCCCCTTGCTAAGATCAAGCTCTTCCTCTTTGCTCCTCAACGTCCCCTCCAGGACGCTGCACTTCCCTACCATTCGCACAAACTCCTCATCTCTCGCCTTCAAGTCCTCCCTTAGTCGGCGTACATCGCCGCCTTCATAAAACTGGCATCTAAGCTCCCGGTACTTCTCAAGGCATCTCAAGTACTTTTCATTCAACTTCACGTAGATATCTTTGCATATATGCTCCC